TTAACTGCGCACGGTTGTTTGAATCTCAATTGCACGGAACACTTCTCACCCCGTTTTACAACTTAAGTAAAAATTGTGAAAACAATAAGCTGGAACTCAATCAACAGACGCCTGAAGCTGCAGGTTAAGCCAGCAATAGGCACCAGATCGACAAGTGGAATACGTGCTCACTCGACCGACTCACGTGAACCGATCGAAGGCCGACATTCGAAGCAGGTAGCAAACACTAGTCATTCGGGTCTGGCATTGGTTTGTGGGACCCACAAATCAGGACTGAAGATATTGTCTACTTTGGTAGCAAAACGTCTGCAAAAGAAATGCCCGCTAGGAGAACAGGACAATCCTCTCAGAACAGTAAGCGTTAGACTACAAGCGGAGCAACAACAGCTATTTTCCCCTATATGTTCAGCATGGAAAAGCACATGAATAAAAACCACTGATTGCACTGATCAACAGTGACTACTGCCTCTCTCACCGTGATACACCGATGGTCTCGTAAAGTTGACCAAGGTTGGCATTCGCGGCGTTTGGAATTTCGTACGGAGGCCAACTAAGGTTTATCCAATACGCTTTCTCCAATTTACGTGTATAAATAAGTAACAGTTTGTTTACAGGTTTATTTTTGTCGGAAACGAATCCCCAACGCAGTCCTCTCCGGCGGGTCTTTTCGTTACTCCTGTGAATTAGCTCAATGAGACAGTACCGTGAATCCAAAACGATTCCGTTCGATACGATAATTGGCGCTATTCTGATCATGTGACCATAGAATGGTGCAAGATCTTCACATACGAGTGTCAGATACATAGGTGGGTTTTGTTTACAAACAGCTAAATTCACAATTGCTCCACACTAAATGTCGAGACTTGCCTGCCTTGACGTAATCGAGGAATGTGTGCATTTCAATACGTCGATGGTACGTGGGTTGGAAAACGCACAGCCTAACAGAGATATCAACAAATTCACCTGGGAACAATTTGTAAAACGATTATGCAACTATTCCCTCGCTCTATTTGTGATAATGACCTGACTTAAAACGAAGTATGTAGCGAAGGTTAGGTTTCGATATTCCTAGAAATGAGATTATTTCGCAAAATTTTCTACTCTCATATTATCCGAACCGTCATAGAATGCAATCTACATGTTTGAATGTCAACGTCTTTAAGTAAAATCACTCAGTGGAGTACAATATGGTGGGATCCTTTGGCTGTCAGGTCTTAAGCTACTTGCCCCGTTGGTTGCCACTCTATATAACAGGAAAGCACCTGGTTTGTTTGGTGCAACTTCGTTGCGCTCAGCCACAAAAGGACGTTGGTGCTAACCCTAACTGATTGGGCATGCAAAATCTGCAGCAAAGACAATAATGAACGCCGACTCAAACGAATCAAAGAAGCCCTTCTGGAGAACGGCTATCCAGGGCGCTTTATCGTGACCCATATGAGGCGAGGCATATCAAAATTGCCGAAACAAACGGTCGAGAAGAGATACCATTTCCTAACTCTTTCATACAGAGGAAATAGTGTGATCAAGGTATGCAAGTTAGATTAAAGCAAGGCTAAAGAAGAAGTTTAATGTGGTCCGGCTAAAAGGGATTTTCCCGTGCAGATTTTTGCTAGTTCCTGTATTCAAAGACCGGGTTCCTGATCATCTCCATTCAATGTTACTCTACCGGTTCACCTGCGTATGTAGGGTTAGATACGTTGGACGTCTGAGTACGCATTTAGGTAAGAGAATCAAGGAACACCTCGTAAGTTGGATCTTCGATCACGTAGAGAGAACAAGTAACCGGTCATCAAATCCGGTCACCAGTTCTACAAATTGTCTTTCAGATTCCATAGGGAGTATTGTCTGCAACCTATTGAGTAAGCGTAAGCCTAATGGCCACTGCGGAAGCGACATGCATACGGCTAACAAGCCAGGACCTTTGCATTCAGAAGAATATATTACAGTTATTGCAACTGTCGTGGCCGATCGTGAGACCGGAGGGATGTAACCGCACTCTATCACGCTATCGATTTAACTGTGACGCGCGTTTTTGCAGACAGCTTTTCCGCACTTCCGTTCCGGTGCTGTTCTGGTCTGCTGCTATTAGGAATTGCAACAAATTGTCGTCGCGTGTTTCCGATATCTTTGCATGCTGCTGCTCCTGCACCGCTTTGATATGACTCTGCGGTTACTTCAAATGCGATGTTAGGTAGGCTGTAAAATTAGTTTTTCTGATTGTATTTCTCTGCCACCAGTTCTCAATCCATATGGGAAGCTGAAAGCGTGAGATACTTTAAAGGTTTTGCGTTTGCACTTCCGCTCAGAGCGTCGGCGTATATTTGATGCTCTAAAGTTGCGGGAGAAACTAACGTTGACAGAGGCCATTTCGGCCCTAGATAAAGCTTGGGATGTTCTAGTAAACACTTATAATTCTCGGTACAATTTTTCGCAGCTGAAACAAGCATCTGGTGAATCGCTTGAGGCATTCATTTCCCGCCTTGTTTGTTCTGATGGAAAATGTGACTATAATATTATTCCTGGGGGAAAGGGGGAAGAAGCCCTGTTAATACAACAATTGATTTCTGGTCTCACAGGTTCTCGGATCAGAGAGAGTCTGTTAATGGAGAACGCAGAAAAGCCCACATGGGACAGGGCCTGTGACGTGGCTCGCGCGAAGGTCGCTGGCACGGAACAAAACAAACTTTTCGCTCTAACACAGGAGCTACTGAATTTGACCGTCTACGTTCTACACGCTCTCTGACGTGATCCTCAGTTAGAAATAAGTTTTACCGTTGTGGAAATGCTGAACATCGTGCAAATGATAAGTCATATCCTGCAACGAGTGCAATCGGCCGGAATTGCGGTAAGACCGATCATTTTGCTCGGGTTTGTCGTTCCCGCCCCACTTCTCTAGTTGGTCCTGCAAATCACTCCAGAGCTTTTCTGGTCATCACTGAACAATCCATATACGTTGGTAATGAATGCGAACATCCACTTTCGTCTCCAGCTCAAGAACCCAAACTGCCTTTGCCAGATATTCCTCGTGTTTTTTGGAGTTAGAAACAAAACCATTTGTCTAGACATGGAGCTAGATTCCGCGTCACCAATCACAGTTGTGCCATAGTGATTTTACAAACGGCATTTTGGCCAGCTCTGTAGATTCTCCCGCTTACATTTTCAGCAGCTACTCAAATGCTGATGTCCACAACTCGGTTTTGTTACGGTTTCAATGTTTCTTATAAACAGCAGGAAGCGCATAGTTGAAGTTTACGTTTCTAAAGCTGATAGTCATCCTGTGTAGGGACGTTACGCCATGGTCTTATTGAAGGTATCACCATGCGTCACCGGGATGAATATTGCCAGCGTCATGTTTCATTAGTTACGATCCAGTTACTCGAATCCTTTTCTTCCGGATATTGGTAGAGTCCCAAAAGCAATGCACCGCATTCGGTCGAGCGCGGATTACAAACCGTTCAGCATTTCTAAACCTGGGTCTGTACCACTGGCCAAGCGAGAAGCGTTGTCGCAAGCTTTGAAAAATATGGTAACGGAAGACTTGATATAACCCATACAGTGTTCTGAATGGGTTCACCTATTAGTTGCTGTTCAAAAGAAAGATGCCTCTATTCGTGTATGCACCGACCTTCGAACGCTTAATCGACACATAACTGTGAACAAATTCCCTCTGCCTTCTATCGGCGAGTTGATGGCTAAGCTATCAAACGCACAACTTTCTCAAAGCTGGACATTCGCAGTGCAAACTACCACATACCACTGACTCCATTTTGACTGCTTTACTCACGCAAAACCGTTTGTACCCATACAAATTGCTACCAATGGGCCTTAGTAGTGACCCAGCAGCTTGGCAGAAATTTAGTACTTTATCGTTATCAGATCTCAACGGATGTGTTGTGTATATGCATGATATTTGTGTTTTTGGTAGTAACCCCACCGAACATCTGGAAAACCCACAAAAGGTGCTTCATAGACTGAATGAACTAAATCTCCGCCGGAATACCAACAAATGCCAATTCGCTGAACCGGAGGTCGAGTTTATTGGACATGTTATTTCTACCTCGGGTCTTAAGCCTAATGTGCAGAACACCAGAGCCATTCTGGATTGTACAAAACCATGCAACATTACACAGATGAAACAGTCCTTGGGTTTGTGTTCTTATTACCTTTGACATTTACCGAATTCTGCGACTATTGCCGAGACATTACGGAGGTTGGCGCGCCAAAACCAGGAGTTTCGTTGGGCCACTGAACAAGATAATGCTTACCTGACCATACGAGCGATGATTGAATGCACTCCCATGGTAGGGATCTTCAATGTGTGTTGTCCAACGTTTGTTTCAACGGATGCTTCAGATGTTGGCTTGGGTGCGGCTGTGACAGAACTGATTTAATTGTGCTGCGGGGATGCGCAAACAGATTTTCCATACATACCTTCCGGTGCTGTTCTGGTCTGCTGCTTTTTCGGGATACAACCATTACATATATAAAGAGGTTCAACATTGCCATAGGTGAAGACATCTGGGCTACGACTGCTCTATCAGTTGACCAAACTCTTCAATTGATGAAGATAGTAGCGCACATGGTTCCATAGGATAACCGCCTGAGATCGAATTATGCGGCGCTCGCAGTAAAACTAGGGCCAGGGCAAATGTAGTGTCTGCACTAGCGTCTTTTGTTCGCACAGTTCAGGTTGCATTAGCCTGATCGCAATGGCCTCGGCCGTCATTAAAGGCGCTTTTTAATCGCTTTTGGGTAGCGTTTTGTTGCGGCGTAGAAAATTTTGCATTGCCCATGATCCCAAATTGATGCCCGCTTTGGATTAGATGGTCCAAAATGGAGCTGTTGCTAATTCCAACTTTGCGCTTCCATAGTGATGTTGGAAAATTTTCTGCTATCCGTTTAGCCAAGCGTTTGTTCGTTTTCCGCTATATCTTACACCATCTATGACACGAGGCGATATCCATGCCGCACGTTTTATATGGTTAAATTTTTCATTCCAGGCTACTGGTACGTCTTTATTGGATGCGATGGAAAAGGAACTGACTGGTGATTATCGCAAGCTGATAAAAGCACTGAGTAAGACTGTGTTAGAGAACATTTAGCCTGTTTTAACACAGACTGATACATTCATCTTATGATCTCAACTCAATCTTTTACGTGATATCTTACCTTTTATCCATAATGCATTTATTCGATAAGGCTGCCTTGGAGAAGAGACGATAAATGTGTCTGTTGGCATACCTCGCACGCATCGTACCACTCAACGTCAAACGTTGCGACTGGCGAGGCTTTTAAATCGCCCGTTGCTTTTTTCGCAGAACATCATTTTGTACATTATCGACTGTAGATCTATCAATTTTACAAGAATAAGCTGACAGATATTTTGTTCAATCAACATCCAAAGTCACTGAGACCCATCTACTCTGTCAATCATTTGAATATAAACCTTGAGATATCGCGCACCATACCCATACGCATCATTGAACACAAAGTTTTAAGTTACCTGAAACGAATTATGTTAAACATACCCGCCGCGTGTCTGGATTGCAAAGAGCAATCTATTGAGATTAAAGTTTGCTTTGAAACAAACCTATGCCATTTCCATCACTGGGACCGCACCTGAAGTGAAGAGCTTCGGAGCTCTTTTCTCCCAACAATGCACTCCATGACCGACCGGCTTCGTGCTGATTTGAACTCGTCAGACAGAGCTAAATTGAACTGACTGGTGAGTCCAGCATAGTGGTTGACAGCTTTAATCTTGATCACTAGGCCAGAGCTCCACAGCAGCGCTTGATATAGCGGTTAGAAGTTCATTATTGGGTCTTTTTAATGAAACCTTTTTCGTTTTTATACTGTGTTCATCTTAGCAACTCACAAGCTATCCACCTCAGTTCCAATCCAGGAAAAGCACCAGACGTGCTTCCCCCTATTGGGGCTAGTCAGTGGTGCATATTCCCCAGGTCCCCTAATGGGGATCAATCCCATGACCGCTAGACGCAGATGGGGGATGTTGGCTGGGCTACATAATTTGCAAACTAACTGGGATATAGCACGACCTATCTTCCACTGCCACACAGGTTACTATCTTTGCAGATGACAGTGGCTAGCCTCTAGGTCATGGCTTCCTGTCACTAGACGCTACTTCCATAGCATATGAAATTAGGAGAGGCTACAATTGAATGGACGCAAATCCCTGACCTGACCTGCCCTCATCATTATAGGATGGTTGCTCGCTGGAGTTCTGACAGTGCACCCTACTTATTTTTCTACCCATCTGTGAATTTAGCATTTTTGAAAGTACCCGTTTGGTACATTTACAGTCGATAATGTAAAATGCTGAAAATGCACCCATTTGGACACTTACACCTTATACTGACTTGACTTGGCGCTACGACACGATTGAAAAAGTGCTGATGAATTTAAACCAATCGTTGTTCCCAATAATGTTTTTTCTTCCATTCAAATGACTGTTTTTTGGCAAGAGAGTTCAAGGCTAGCTGGCTTTTGTGGTGGCCAAATCCTGACCGATCACTGACAAAGTGTGGCTCTGGTCCTGCTGTGGAATTACCTCCTTGACGCCTTCTCGCTCTAACCGCTTGAAGAGAGTAAGCTTTTGGTCTGTTTCTAGTTAACAACTAAGAAAGATGCGTGCGTATCGGTTGGCTCATTGCGCACTTCTCACCAACTTACGGGAGTACGTTTAATCGACGGATTTTAGTCATCCGGCTGTGGACGGCCTGACCCACAAAAACACGGATAATGTCATGCTGCATCGGCCGTCTTGCAGTAGGGGACTCCCCCTATCTACTGTATATAACAGGCTTGATACATAAAACATACCACCAATAGTGTCCTCTTTTCTTCATCTTCCCCTGCGGACTGTCCCAGTTTACTTGACATCCTAATTACCACATTCCAGCTTTCCGACCCATCGACTGCCCGGTGCAATCGTATGACTCCGCGGCAAGCGTTCTATGTCGAGTGTAGAACCTTCCACACTGCAGGAAGAAAACACGAATTATCGACCCAGGCGACGCACTGCATTGGTCGCCATATTACTCGGTGGCAATCGCATTGATGCTTCCCCGGCTAGTTGATCAAGGCAAGTTGCACTTGGAAAGTGCTGGGTACACGTTCTACTGGATGGGAAACACCATCATATTACTACGTGAAGGTGTTAGATTTTCAAAGTGCAACCGCCTAACTGGACACCTGAAGGAAGAGCGGACTGCATAAACTCAAGGTTTATGACACTCCGCCTGCGTTTCGGACGGAATAAGCCTGCGACCTCCATCATCGCTATCCTGGTTACACGAAAGATCAGTCTTACAGCTGTCCTCTGTGATGCTGTCTGTGCCGAGGAGCGACCGGCCATTCCTACTGGGTGATTTCGACATGCGCGTTTGTCGTGGTGCCGCAGGCTGACAGACTTAATCGGGCCGCATGTCATTGGCTCAACCGATGGGAACAGTGTTTGCCTGGTTCACTGTGTGTATCTCGTGGCCTGATGATCACAAAAACACATTTCCCACTGGCTGTGAATGATCTTGTTATCGAGACTAAGACAGCATTTAAGAGCAAATAGAAAGGTTTCTGTACAACTCTAACGAATAATGAAAAATCAAAAACATGTACTTGCGAATCGTTAGTCGTAGTGTTCGGTCAGTTGATCGTTTATCCTTGTTCGGTTAGGAATTCGTGTTGGCGTCATTATTTCCTGGTAGAGGATGTATATTCTGCATTATTTTTGCGCCGTTTCACAGAAGCAGATTTCCGAAATAATTGTCGATACTTGTTTTGAAACACTTCATAGAATCGGCCTCTATTAGTCTTGGTAGTGTATACCATAAGTTTACGATTATTTGTTCTACACAAAGTTCATGTATGGGACCCTGAGTTTGTGTCTGTGTCCCGGATGTTGGAGGGTTCCCGGAGGTGAAATATTGGCCGCAAAATGGGGAAGTGATTCAGGTGTATTATTTGATGGGTCCTAATAAGGTCAGTTAGTATTCGGCAGTAGGATAGCGTGTAGAGTCCGAGCCTTTCACAATCTTCTTCATACGGAAGCTTCCCTAGGCTCGGTATCGTTCCATTTGCGATATGCTGTATTTTCTACAGCTTTTCAGTTTCCCATTGGGTTATCGGATGGTAAGTTAGGGTACCGTATTCGAGGATTGGTCTGATGAGCGAGGTGAATAGGCGAGGGACGGTTTCTTCAGACCATATGGAGAAACTTGTACGCACTCACGGAGTAGTCAAGCTCACCTGCTCTACTGTGTCACTCTAAGCTAGCGTGACATGTGTACTGCATGGAGCTGAGTGTGTGGATCAAATTATACAAATATTCTCGTAACTTTATGCACTGTTCCTCTGCCGTGAGTCGACAGAATCTGAATCTTCGTCCTCTAGCTAGTGCTGAGAATAGGAGTGGGTTGGAAAATGCAATGGCGACCGACCTCCCCGAGGTTGGACCTATCGCTTCAATTAGCGACCTGTGACACGACTTTAAGAAACAGTCAAACTTTGCTGCTGAGAAGGTGGTCGGGCGCAAACTGTAAACGACCCGATTGGTCGTATGTCAACAGTGCGACCAATGACTCATTGATGCTCGAGAAGAATGTGGCATTTACTGTATGTGAGAAGGATCCCGGTGACTGGAAGAAGAATGGTAACTTTCGTAAGATGTCTAACTTAAGGAAGACGTCACTTAAGGAATGCATAGTTTTCGAAGACGGGTGTTGTATACATACAGTTTAATGAAAAACCGTTCATAGTTTGACCGGAAACGTTGCACGTAATGTAACAGCAAAATGTGATGAATGGTGGCGTTGACATCCCGGAGATTCACGAAATTCCTGGAAAAATTGTTCGGATGGGAAATGGCCATTGAGCGGGTGCCGATGAAATATTGTCAACAGGATTGAAGAACAGCTGGTCAGTAATGCCATATGCGCTGTATCACTTGGCAGAACGCGCTTGCATGAAACGATGAAAACGGTTTGTAACGAACAAAAAAGCGATTGCTTGACAACATCGTAGGGTGTCCGGAGTGAGCATTATAGGACCTATGTTGACTTCGAACAAGATGAAAATGTGTGGGCCACCTGGCTGTCAGCTGGCTTTGGGTCTGGTAACTAATTCAGTGGCCCGGGAAATTGTGATGGCTTACAGGCTGCTATACTTGGGCTCTACAGGCGCCCTTAATAGTTCGCCGCCGCTCGAAAGTCACGCTTTCTATACTTTGGCATCAGTCTATAAATGGACATCGAAAAACAATCAGGAACAAAAGTAAAATAGGGGTACAAATGTCAGGAATGATGAACAAATATTCTTGGCTTTTTCGATTTCACACACCATTTTGCACTTTTTTCCTCTTTTTGATTGATATAGCGCTAATCACATTGTTCAAAACATTTAAATACACAGTTCTTTCATTGATTCCGGTTTCGCGCCATGTCACCAAGTGTATCGAGCCATTGGCAGTCTTCATCCTTCGGCCCCCAACCAGGAAGACGTACAGGATCGACGATTGGGAGACAGGAGGTCAGCGATTTCATGATTCGCCGCCAAGTGGTTGGCTGACCTAAACGCGTTCTCTTCCAATTCAATCCCATGTGGGCAAATAAGGTGAGGCGTGGTAAGCGTTCGCATGAAATATGTAGGATGTGGCCAAGCCACCTCAATTGACGCATTGCGACAATGCGATTAAGCGGAAGGCTCATGTTTCCTAAGACGCCACAACGGACTTCATCGTTGCGAACCTGGTGCTGCCAGCACAAACAGGCTATCCGCCGCAAACATGTATTGTCAATGGCCGAAAGCCTACGTATGTCATCCACACGAATCGGCCTGGACTCACTTTCTAACAACAGGACCGCACGGACACAAGCGTTGTAGACCCTCCTCTTTAACGAGAGGGAGAGTGTGTATGTTACAGCTGTATATGTACGCGTCTTGGGTACCAATGGCTCATTGTCAATTTGACTGCTTTGACCTGATTACAGGAAAACGGCCAAAATTCGTTGGGTAGTCTGGGCAGCGATCGCGAATCTGTTATCCAGGAAAGGGTAATTGCTTAAGCTGAATATAAGTTTAAAGCGGT